CCCATATCTGCATTTCATCTAAAATCATTTTGAGAACCACCCAAGATCATGGCTGTGCACACATCTCACGATTTGGGAAGCACAACAACGAATGGTCGAGACTGGGCCTTTGCTGACGTGTGGCGTGACTCAGCTCTCCGTGAGGAAGGTTCTTATCCCAGACAGGCCTGGGCTCTAGCCACACTGTCACTGAGGGCTCCCACCGGAGGGCCTGTGTCTCTGTGGTCCCCTCTATCTGAAACGGTCCTCCTCCAAGTACCCACTCTGTTGCAGAATTCAGGTCTCTGCTCCACATCCTCACGGCAGAGAGGCTTTCTCTGACCACCCTGTACGATGTGCGAAGCCCTTCCTCACCACCAGACACTGTTTTTCTTCATAGCGGTAGTATTCACTCATTCACTTCTGTCTATCCCCATCAGACTACAGCATATGGTGAGCTCTAGAAGAGCTGGGGCTTTGTTTCCCAACATCCTAGTACCTGATGTCAATACTCAATATTTCCTTAGTGAATAAATGAATCCCCTCAATTGATCTGGAGATCTTTCACATGTCTTTATTTCCTAGTGCCTGGTATCTAGTTGGTCCCCAGGCTGCGTATGATAATCACCCTGGGAATCTCTGCAGACTCTGCCCTTACCACAGGGAAGGGTCCTACCATGGATGCTGACCCACCACTCCCTCTTGAGTACACAGGATGCCACAAAGTGAACTCTACCCAGCCACAGCAGAAGTGCCTAGAGAGACCACAAGCTAGATGAACTGAGATCAACACCGAACTTATTATACGCAGAGTAAGGCCAATTCATGGTATGATTGGAGAATCCCAGGCTAGAAATCTCTCCAGTAAACCTATTACAATCCCTAAGGTTTTTGCCATTATTGCTCATAACTTTAGATGCATCCAAGTATACATCTGAGAGCCAGAGTAGATCTTGAGAGAGGAGCTGATGTGCCTCTGCATGGTCACACAGGGCCAGCTCCGAGAGGAACAGGCTGAGCCCTGGAGCTCTTGGCTAGAGGGAAAACAGACCAGCCCTGCATCCTGCGCCAGTGAGGGCAGCCAATGTCAGGGCATAGGGTCTGCGGTGAGGACCGGCTCAAGCGCAGGCAAAGTTGAAGCAAACAGCCTCAGGAGGCGAGAGTGTTGAGGCATCTGATGCTAACATACGAGGCACTGAGCTGTGTTCCAAGACATCTGTCCTTCATCCTCGCCAGTGGCTAAGAGGACGTAAGGCCAGAATCTAGCCTACAGAGAAGGGGGGAGAAAAAAACTCCCAAGCCTAACGTAAGACTGGAATTAAAGGCAAAGTTGCCAGGCTGACTGGTAAGTGAGAATCACAGCAGAGACCCAGTCCCACAAACAAGGCCAACACAGTGGAACAGGGAGTCCTGGAGCCCAGGAGTCACTCCCACCATGACTTAGCCTAAGTCCCACCAGCTGGTGGGACCAGGGCTGCCATAAACCTCTTTTCCAGACCCAGACTAGCTCAGGCACTAGGGAGAGCCTGTCAGCAGACAGGGCCCACGAGCAGTAGAAAGCAAGCAGGTAGGCACACGCTGCCTACACCCAGACTCAGCACTGTTCTCATCTCCTAAAAGACCAGACAGGAGCCCACAGACGATTGCCAGCTGATCTGCTGTCTACTCTGCGACCTTGGCCAGCAACGGACACACTGTGAAGTGTCCCTTCGGCAGTGCCAAGCTGGATTAAGTAATTTTATTGCCAGAATTTCTCTTCTAAAATATAAGAGTCCTCACAGGGTGAGAAAAACACAAAATCAATTATGCATTAACATCTTAGACTTTTTTTTTTTTTAAACATAAATAGGAAGACCCATCAGCTAGGTAGGCTCTGAAAGAACCAAAGGTTTAAGGTGCTCTTCTATGTTTTGGGATTTGCTGGGAGTAGTTTAAGAGACCAGAGAAGATTAAGATACAACTGGATTCTTCTCTAATAAAAAGCAACTAAGTAGGATCTATCACCAAATATCAAAATTTACAAGTGAAACACAGAAATTAAACAAGCAAAGAGGAAACCAGGATTCTCTGAGAAGCCCAAAACAAGAACACTTTTTAATAAAATTAAATCAGTTCATTCTTGGAGACGTTTCGGCCTTTTGGCCAAAGAGAAAGCCATTTCTGCCCATTGGTTCTCAGACATCCCAGGAGGAGACCACCAAATCTACACAAATTAATTAATAATGACAATGAAAATGAGCAAAAGATCAGACAAGGTTAACATATACACATAATATATAAGCACCACATCTTCCTACAGTTTAGTTCCTCAAAATTCAAAAATGCCTTTATAAAAATTTAAATGGTCTTTTTAAAAGCTTATTAAAATTACTCTTACAACAATGGAGAAGCACAGGGTCCTGGGAAATAGACCTCTGCGTCCATCAGCATTTTTTACAGAAATATTAAATTGAAGGCATATCAACTCTGACAGTCCAGGATTTTCAAAAAAAAAAACAAAACAAAACTTAGGTTTTCAATTAATTAACTCCCAATGAATTTTAGAATTAAAATATCACCATCAACTTAATTAAACATTAAAAGTTTAAGGTCCCAAATAAGAGAAGGCTGTTAAAATATATCTTTCCCAAATAATTAACTAATTAGTTAATTTAAATTAAGTCTATCATTTCCTCCATCCCCTACTCTCTCACACACATTATATTTTTTATTTGTATCTTTATATATCTTGCTAAAACTTATGGTATTGCAGATTTTCCATAAGTGGATTTTAAAAGTGATTTTTATGAGGGAGAAAACTACAAAGTGAAGAATCGAATGATAAACTTCAAATTCAGGATTTACCAGTAAGTAGGGGTTGGGGCTGAGGTAGGCCTAGGAAGGAACACCCAGGGTCCTCAAAGGCAATGGTAATATATTTTTTTAAAACTGAGTAATGGGGAGACAGATGTTCACTGCACCATTATTCTCCATACCTTACTTGTATTTTATAATCTTACTTAAAATACTCAATAATTAACAAAACTTATTTTAAAAGTAAGTTTATGTTATTATCATTGCAGAAAGTATATAGAAACGTATGTAAATCAAACTCTCTTGAAAACATTTTTCAATAGCCGTGTTACTCGGACAAAAAGTAAAACAAGAGTACTTAAAATTTGTACAGCAGCCAACCTATCCTTCCATTTGAACACTTCCACAGAACTAACAAATTAATATTTTTCATGCAGACACACTCAATTTTTTCTCACATTATACTGTTTCATTCTGCTTACTTTAAAAAACTTTAGTTGTCCCTCAACTTCCATGTAACTTTCACCATTTGGTAAAAAACATCATAATTTTTTTCTTGTTCTCTAAATAAATCTGAAAAAATTAAAATGGGGTCACACCTCTATGAACAACATACAACAGGATGAGTTACATCACCCAAAATGATTGTAAAATTAAATGAAATATTTTGGTAGTAACGGGGTTTCGGTTCGCTTGTTTTGTTGTTTCCAACTATCTGGTGCCAAGAGGAATCTCTAAGTCAAATACGAGGAAAAGACACCGGATACCCTAATACTTCTCTTAATGTGTCCCCAGGTCTTTGTTGTTTATTCTGCTTTCAGTAAAGTGGTAGAAATGTCTTAGATACTTTAGTTTGGATTTGTTCACACATCTGAAGTATTTAATTTTGTAAGGACACTCGAACTTGAAAAGTCCTGGGGCCCGGAAAGGACAGCTCTTTTCAGTATTTCAAAAAGCCTAAAACACATTTACCTGTAATTCGGCCATGCTAGAAAATGAAAATGTGTTTGCTTTCTTCCCCTGGGATTTAACCAAGCTTTCCTAAGTTCAGTGGTTACCTCACGCAGAGCAGATATTCAGACATATGTCATTAATAAAAATAGAAGGATTCATCATGATTAGTTAGTAACTGTGGTCTGAAAAATCATTCAAAATATGAGGTCCATGAAAAAGAAAACCCCAAAACAAAAACAAAATATGAGGTCCATGGGGCGAAAATAATAAAATTGGTTTTTTATTACTGGCATTTTTTTTTAACCAGTTGGTATTTTTAAAACTGCAACAACAAAGTCTGAGGACCACTGTCTGGGAGGAGTTCTAACTATCACTGCTTTCAAAATCTCTGGAGAATGTTGATTTCCTAACTATTCCAAAATTTGCAAAGTCAACTTTCAATTTTTTATTTTTTAATTTTCTTTTTTAATTAATTAATTTTATTTTATTTATAGATTTTTTTTTTTCAGGCAGTTCAGTTCTCTGCTCCTCCAGCTTTATAAAACAGTAAAAGTCATGGAGTTGTTAAGAGGGAAAATGTTTCACATCACATCTTCTTCCTGCTACAAGCCAGGCTCGTAGCACTGGGACTGTTTCTCTTCTCCATAGCTTCCAACTTTCTTTAAAATCAAAATGCGACCCTCCCCAAACTACTATTCTTATAACAGTAAATGCTCTGGGTGTCTGAAAAAAGCCAAACTAAAAAAGACTGACTTTAAATCAATAACCTTTAAAAATTTACTTAACCAGCTTTCAAAATAATCCCCTTTGGCCATGCAGGATAGCCTAGGGAACAGGTGCAAGGCGTGCCTTCCTAGAGGCTGTCTCCTCCTTCATGAAGCTGACCTTTTCCAGCAGCTCTGGCACCCCACGAATCAGTTATCAGTAAGCCTAAAGCCTGCTTTCCCATCTGCACTTTCCAAATAGCTCCCAATGCCAAGCGCTGAGATATGACCCGGCTCTCAGATGAGAACATGCCTCCCAAGTGACTTGCCAAGTTTCCCTGGAAGCATTTTCTAAATGTATTCTCTGACCTCCCTCCTCACCCTCTTGATCACAGCTCATTCTTCCTTCCCTGCACTTCCTAATTCCACCTCCTCATCCCGTGCCTCCAACACCCTGTGCCTCAGTCCAAACTCCTTACCCACCCCCAGCCTAAAACCCCACCTTCACATCCAAAGGACACAGTTTCGACAATTTTGCACCTGGTTTGCAGTGATCTTTTTGAGGCCTACCTGCAGGCAGCTCAGTTATGGATTCTTCCCTTGCCTTCTCCAGCTTCTCCCTAACCCAGGGAAATTCCTGCAAGGAATCTAGGAATGCATCAAATGCTTTAGGACCTCTGGAAGGTAGGATATCCAGCAGCAGCATTGTTTTCCGGAGGCCTGTGGCTTGAGCTTTGATTTCTTGAACATGGTTTTCTGTCAGGACCCCTTCCTGGTAAAGATACTGAAGAACCAGTCCCTCCACCAGTACCTCCGCACCCAGCTCCAGGCGAAGGGAGCGAAGCACTTGCTTGTCTCTAGCCTCCATTTCTCCCTGGGAGAAGACAAAATAGTAGCTCAGATTACAGGGAGCTCACCAACCCCTAAAGACAGTGTCCTACATGCGGTGCAAGCTCCTTAAGGTCGGGTACAACTTGGAACCTTAGCAGGGTGCCAGGCCGTGGTGTTTGGTACACAGCTGTTAAGCCAAAGCGAAGTAATTTTGAATGTTTCCGAACATAATGAACAACCCTGAATACGAATCATCCTTTCTACTTTTGCTTTCCACACAATGGAATCCTAGCTCCATTCCTTGCTTGATCAAGAGATTTGGAAAAAACTGGGCCATGGACCCTGCTTAAAAAGCAACTTTGAAAATTACAGAGCAGCTTTTCATTTTAACATACTTAAAAAGACACGGTGCCTTTATTTTAACATAGCCTTCATCAGATATACCCCAATACCAAGGAAACTGCCAATAAGCATGCAGGTGCTCTTCTGACCATGGGCATTTGCTGAACCTGCATAGCAATGGGAGTGGGCGCCCGAAACCGGTAGGTACCACTAAGTTAAGGTTCTTTTCCTTTAAGAGAAAAGCCCTATACACCCTCACCTCCAAGAAAAATATTTATTGTGTGTGCCTCTACAGTAAACCTTATATATGGTCACAGACTCCACCCCTGCCCTCTAAGAATTCCGAAACCCTATCACAACACTGCCCGGACCACACACGTATGGGACATTTGGTGGGGATTTATTTTTTCTTTACAAGGAAAAAATGTCCACACGCCAGCCCTGGTCAGTAGCCACGCACGATTTTAAGGCCTGTGTTCAAGACCACTGCCCCGGTTTGAGGGCGCTGGTGCGGAGGCCATGAAGGTAAAGCAGCGGCGCGGCGTGGGGGGAGGCGGCAGATGGCGCTTCCAGGCACCCACAGAAAGTACAAGCGGCCGGCGACCCGACCCCACTCCTTCGAGCAGCCCTCGGGGAAGTCGGGGAAGTCCGGGCGGTGGCAGGTGAGGGGCAGGGTGTGCGCTTTTGGCTGCCAACGCCCATCTGGAACTTTTTGTTCCCTGCCTCGCCAGCTGAAGTCCTGTTGTGTTACGAACAGGAAGAACCGGGAGGAATTTTCGGGGCAACCTGACAAGCTCAGAAGTGGGTGCTGGCAATGATCCTCAGAGCGGACGGAAGGGGTAGCGGCCCCCGGCATCCCTACCGCCACCCCAACCCGGGCCCGGCTCGGACATGCTGCGAACAAATTAGCGGGGGCGGGGAGCCACGCAGGGCCCAGGCCGCAGGCTCCACCGTGCGGGGCCTTAGAGAAAAAATGGATACGGGGTTTCTGATTTCCTGTTACTTACGTCTGCAAACACGTATATTTAAAAAAAAAAAGAAAGAAAGAAACCGCAACCGGAATCCAGACTGTTAGGGAACCTGTACCATAAGCACCATCTTTGTTGAAGGCGAAAGCCGTGAACAGGAAGTGTTGTCTCCATCTTTCTTAAGGGCAAACACAGGAAGTGCTGTAGCCATCATTATTGGGGGGAGGGGACAAGTGTCGGACTGAAGCCTTTTCCGCCATGTTTGCTGTGGGTAAACAATAAAGCGGCCTGGAGATGGAAAATAGCATCACTTAGGGGGTTACCTAAGGAAAGTAGTATTTTAACACAGGAACTCCACAGTCTTGCACACAACTGACATAATAGATGGTCAGGTCTCAAAAGTCACCTTATCGGGCGCCTGGGTGGCTCAGTCGTTAAGCGTCTGGCTTCGGCTCAGGTCATGATCCCAGGGTCCTGGGATCGAGTCCCCACATCGGGCTCCCTGCCCCGCGGGAGGCCTGCTTCTCCCTCTCCCACTCCCCCTGCTTGTGTTCCTGCTCTCGCTGTCTCTCTCTCTGTCAAATAAATAAATAAAATCTTAAAAAAAAAAAAAAGTCACCTTATCAGCGTAGCCTTCCATGACCACTCTATTTAAAATTGCAACATTCATCTCCTGCACTCCCCATCCCTTTTCCAACTTTGTTTTTATCTGTAGCATGTACACCATCTTATTAAAACTTTTACTTAATTATCTGTCATTCGTTTCCCTCCACTAAAATGCAGGGTCGTTTATATCTTAGATCACAAGAGTTCCTGCCCACAAAGAGATTATACATCAGTAAATTATTCAGTTACAGCAACCAGCTAGCTACTCAGGAAAGAAAAGGAATGGTCACGGGGAAGTGGGGATATTCACAATCATTAGGAAGGCTGGAAGAGGCCTGGGCATCCGAGAATGACTCCCTAGACAATACTGCCTAACTGACCACAGTCGGGAAAGCCGATCCCCATCTCTTCTCAACAGACAGATCAAGTGCGGAAAACCCAAGGTCTCCACAGCTGTATTTGCCAGCAACATCAGAACAGCACCTGCAAATCTTACTCTGATGTTTGCAATCGGTGAGACCTATTTCAAATGCAGAACATTCGCAGCAAGGGTGTCTGGAGCATGTGGTTTGGAGTTTTCCAGCCTCTGAAGCACAGAAAGACATTCTAAAAAGAGAATGGCTGTTATTGGGGGGTGACCTGCTGAGTTCACCACATTTTTCATTGGAAAGCAAGACAAATACATGATCCAAATATAGAGACATATCTGAATATCAAAAGGAGGGTCATTCCTGAACTCCTTTATGAAATGGGGCAATCAATAAGCATATTCATTGATTCACTTTTAAAGCAATTGGGTGATATATGCAGAAAGTCGTATACCTGCTAAAAATTCGTTGACCGGGTAACAGGAAAAATACCTCAAATATCATTATTTCTATAAAGGTTCTCTCAACCAACACCGCTAGTGGAAGATGAAAATCTTTGTAAGCAAATCAATGGAAAGCAATTCTAAACCTCCCTCCTCAAAACCTTTTTGTAACCAGTTTAAAGTGTTACTATACCAATATACCATTTTATTATACCAGTGGTGACAATTTTTTTAATGGGTGGCAAGTATTATTATTATTAGCATTTTTTTTTTTAAGATTTTATTCATTTGACAGAGAAAGAGAGAGAGCACACAAGCAGGGGGAGTGGCAGGCAGAGGGAGAGGGAGAAGCAGGCTCACCACTGAGCAGGGAGCCCAATGTGGGGCTCGATCCCAGGCAGCCGTTCAACAGACTGAGCCACCCAGGCACCCCTATTATTAGCATTTTACATATGTGAAGACTGGAATCAAAGTGGACAAATGACCTAGTGAAAATTTCACAGCTAATATATGCCACACCTGAATTCTAACCAGGTCCTTCCAATTTCATGCCCTTTCCAATACCCAGTTTACCACACGGCCATGTACGATGAAGAGTCTGTTGTTCTGATGACAACCAGAAAATTGACAAATCATTCTGGTGCCACCTCCCACTTGATACTCCTGAGTTCCTAGTACTCTCTTCACTCTCTACCTATTTTTTTCTTTTCTCTCCTCTGGAACTGCTTTCCTTTCCTGGGAAAGGTTTATCTTTTGTATGTGGACAGGTATTAGCAACGTTCTCTGCCTTCATCCAGATAAAGTGCAGATCTCTTGCGATACTAGCAATAGCTGAGGTTACAGACTTTTGGGTGTAATTTTTCCAACTATAAACTTTGATAATTTTCAAACATATACTAAAGTTGAAACATATAACACAAAGCACACCCATATAAAACTACCTAGCTTAAAACACTTCCTAATGACATGTTCTATTTGGAAAGGCTTGAGATCTTCTGGGAACTAGAAAGAGACATTGATGATGAGTCCAGGGAGCCAAAAGTGAGTTCCATGAGAGTTCACAGAAGAGAAGAAAAGAGTGTAAGAGGCAGCAAGAGAAGAGTTAGTGCAGGAGCTGAGGGGCATGGAGTCCAGATGGTGAGCAACCTAAGAGGTTGGCTATTAAGGATCTGACTTTTAAATCCATAAGGTGAAGCCCCTGATCATTAAATTCCTCTTCCAATGGCAAATTTAGATGAGCATTCATGTTGCCCCCGAAGCAACTAGGCTGACTGATTGACTAGCCAACTACCCTCAGTCAGCTCTTTGCAGGATCACCACCCCACATTACCATACAGTGATACTTCTGAGCAGCAAGCCAGAGGTTCAGCTTCACTAATATAAATATCTAAGGACAGCAGCCTAAAAAGTCAAACACAGATCAGAATCACTATCACAGATGATTACTCCTCCGCTCTGTTTTTTCCCTCTCTGTAGGCTGGAAATGTGCCCCCACAGAGGATTAAGCACCTGTTACCCAGTGGTAACAAATCTATTTTCAGGAAGGACAGATATTTCCCTTTTTCTCTTTCCCCTACTGTGTTTACTTGTGTCAAGTTGTATACCCATTGTTAGTTTGCAAAATAAAGAGTCAAAAAGAACAAATGTAGTATTTTTCTGTCTTCCAATTTGGTCTTTAGTTCTGCAAATTTCAAAACAAAAATCAAAGGAGTCAGACATTTTCAGTTCTTCCTGTTTCATGAATGTGGAAATTAAGCCATGGGGAAAAAGAGATTCTTTTCAGGCATACTTGAAACAGTTCCAGAAATAGATCATGACTTAAATTACAAAGAAACTTCGATAAATTCCAAAAAATCAACAGCATACAAACTATGTACTCCACCATTTCACAATAAAATTAGAAACTTTAACAAAAAGATACCTTCAATAAATCCCATAAGCTTAGAAACTAAATGAAATAACTCTTAAGGGGTGCCTGGGTGGCTCAGTCGGTTAAGCATCTGCCTTCAGCTCAGGTCATGATCCCAGGGTCCTGGAATCAAGCCTCACATCGGGCTCTCTGCTCAGTGGGGACTCTACTTCTCCTTCTCCCTCTCCTTCTGCCCCTCCCCCTGCTTGTGCTCTCTCTCTCTCTCTCTCTCTCTGTCAAATAAATAAAAAATAAATCTTAAAAAATATAAAAATAATAAAATAACTCTTAAGCTCTTTATTTAAAAAAAAAAGCCACACACTTCAGTTGGTACAGCCATATGGAAAATAGTATGGAGAGTCATAAAAAAATTAAAAGTAGATCTGTCATATGATTCAGCAATCCCATTTCTGAGTATAGATTCCAAAGGAAATGAAATCAGTATCTGAAACAGATATCTGTACTCCCATGTTCATTGCAGCATTATACACAATAGCCAAGATATGGCATCAACCTAAGTGTCCACTGGTAGATGAATGGATAAAGAAAATGTGAGATTATATGTATATGTGCCTGTATATTTTTGACTATACATATATTTGGCCCTTAAAGAAGAAGAAAATCAGACCTATTAGAATGACCAAAACTCAGAACTCTGACAACACCAAATGCTGATGAAGACGTTGTGCAACAGGAACTCTCATTCATTGCTAGTGGGAATGCACAATGGTAGAGCTACTTTGGGAGACAGTTTGGCAATTTTTTACAAAACTAAATATACTCTTATCATATGATCCAGCAATTGGTATTTACTCAAAGGTGTTGAAAACATGTTCATACAAAAACCTGACACGAATATTGATAGCAGCTTTGTTCACAATTGCCAAATTTGGAAGCAACCAAGATGTCCTTCAGTAAGTGAAGGGATATTTACACTGCCACACATCTAGACAGTGGAATATGATTCATCCCTAAAAAAGAAATGAGTTATCAGGCATGAAAAGACATGGGGGAACCTTAAACACATACTACTAAGTGAAAGAAGCCAATCAGAAAAGACTCTGTACTGTATGTCCCAACTATATGACATTCTAGGAAAGGCAAAACTATGGAGACAGTAAAAAGATTGGTGGTTGCCATGAGATTGGGGGAAGGTATGAATAGGGGAATCACAGAGGATTTTTAGGGAAGTAAAAATACTCTATGCGATGCCATAATGATGGATACATGTCATTATCCATTTGTCCAAACCCAAAGAAGGTAGAACAGCAAGTGTGAACCCCAAAGTAAATTATAAACTTTGGGTGATTATGATGTGTCAATGTAGGGTCATCAATTGTAACAAATACTACATTATCCTCTGCTAGAGGATGTTGATAATGAGGAAGTCTATATATGTGTGTGGGGCAGTGGGTATATGGCAAATCTCTATACCTTTCCTTCAGTTTTGCTGTGAACCTTAAACTGCTCTAAAAAATAGTCTTAACCAAAAAAAGAGAGAGAGAGAAGGAAATCTTGTCATACACTACAATATGGATGAACATGGAAGTTATTATGCTAAGCAAAATAAGCCCAATACAGAAAGACAAATACTGCATGATCTCACTTATATGTGAAATCTGAAAAAGTCAAACTCACAGAAGCAGAAAGTATAAGGGTGGTTGCCAGGGGTTGGGGGTGGGGAAAATGGGGAGATGTTGGTCAAAGGCTGCAAAGTTTGAGTTACGCAGGACAAGTAAGTTCTGGATATCTAATGTAGAGTATGGTGGCTATCATTAATAGTATATTGCATACTTGAAATTCGCTGAAAGAGTGGATCTTAAATGTTCTGACCTCACATAAAAAAATGATAGCTATGTGACATGATA